CTCTGAGCTCTCTTCCCATGCTGGCCCTGAACCATCTAGGCAACAACATTTAACTTTGGGAGTAAAGGAACAAAATAATAGCCAAATGAACCCCGAATATTTTTTTAAGTAGACAGAAAACAGAGTAGTAGAAAATCTGGTGAATTGCCATCTTAGTGTCTTGAAGATGTGGAGTAAAGCACTGCTGTTTGCAAAATTTTAGAGCTTTTAAACGTTATAATATTTTACAAAATGTAGAAATTTAAAAGTATTCATTATACTTTATAAACGTGGTGAACAATATTTGACAGACCATTCAATGGTTCTTGTACAATTATTCCTTCACTACTGCCATATTCTTACACTTTAATAGAACACCTTAGCTGTTCCAATATTTAACTGAAAATGTCTTAACTAGAATTTGATTTTGTTGCAAACACCAACAACAAAATTACATTTGTATAATGCCATTCATGTTGGGAGGACGTCCCAAAGCACTGGGCAGACAGAGTTTCAAACCCGAACTGGGGATCGGGTTCGAGGAGGGTGGAGGGCAGGGGGGGGACACAGGGACATGGTCGAAGAGGAGGGTCTTGAAATGGGTCTTGAAGGAGGCAAGGGAGGGGGCAAGGCAGAGGGAGCAACTACCGGAGGGAGTTCCAGAGGGTGGGTGGGGGCAGAGTGGCAGAAGGCCCGCCCGCCAATAGTGGGGCAAACATCAGATTTAGAATCTATAATTAGCATCACTTAATTCTTTCAATAAAATGCAATTTCTTGCATTGTGCGCTATCCTCAGATTACAGTCCAACACAAAGTCATTGTATATTAGAAATATGATTTGCTTCTGTATAACCTTTTTAAAAAAAAATTAAACTCACAATAACATTGAAAAAGTTTTTTTTCCCCAAACAAAGCATTTTAAAGCTCCTGGCCAAAGGTAGATCTGTTTTACAGATAAATTGGAAGAGTTGTCAGATTAATTTCCTGTCTGTGTGAAAATACTGCAGCTTTGCCTTATTTCATCAGTAATTCAATACAAACAGCAGTCAAATAAACCTGGCACCAGGAAAGATTAAAAATAAGGCTAACACACATTGTTTCATTTAAGCTTCTATTGATTCCTCATGTGTCGTCTCAAAGGAAATATTCCAGATTCCTTATTCACATAACCTGATAAAAGCGTTTAAATCTCAAAACGTAGCTGCAGTTAATGGGCAAACGTGTCTTTTAGTTCTCAGATTAATTTATTCAATGAAAACACTCAGTGCTGAACTTTGCTGCTAAAGTGAGATACAAAACCTAAAAAACACAAGAAATACTAAGGCTGTATTCTTTACTACTAGGTTGCAATTTCTGTTGTGGAGACCACTTCGTCTGAGAATCTGGGATCAATTTAAGGATAAGTCTTCCCCAAACCCAAAGGACAAGAGAAATTCAACAGGTATGAAGTTACAATTTTATTTAAGGCTGGAATGAAGACCCATTGCACAATCTATTTTATATTGTTCTTAGGTATTTCTACATGGTAATAGAGGGATATGGTTTCTTACATTTCTATGAATTAGTTTTTAAAAAAATTCTTAAGGATTTCAAAATGCACATTTAAACTGTAATACGTCGATAAAACTGTAAATTTAAAAGCAAAGGAAACCAATGTTGACCTTGAAATGAACTTTATAAACTTTTTCCTGGATAGGAAATGCTCTACAAAATGACTGTACTCAAACAGTCTCAAAAGTTTACTTCAGTGGTTAATAATAAAAATAATAATAATCCTTGCATTTGATATAGCGCTTTTCATGTCGGGAGGACGTCCCAAAGCGCTTCACAGAACACACTGTAAAGTGAATTGACTGTATATTTGTGGGCGAACGCGGCAGCCAATGGCGCACAGCAATGTCCCACAAACAGTCGTGGATTGAAAATGACCAATTTATTATTGTTTTTGGTTTTGGAGGGATTATTATTAGGCTCTGTGTGGAGTAAGGAAACTTGCTCCAGTTTCGGCATGGCCGAAGAGGAGGGTCTTGAGGAGGGACTTGAAGGAGGCTAAGGAGGGGGCGAGGCAGAGTGACTGGAGGATGGAATTCCAGAGGTGGGGGGCAGAGTGGCTGAAGGCTCTCCCGCCAATGGTGGGGCGGGTGGGGCGGTGACGTGGAGCAGCCAGAGCCGGCTGAGCGGAGGGAACGGGCAGGTTGGTAGGGGGTATGTATGTGAGGACCAGGATATATATTCCTGATTTCTCTCACGAATAAGCGATGGAGATTCTGGTCAGACAGAATCANTTTTTGAAACTTACATTGATAATCTGCCACAATATAGTCATAACAATCAATGCAAGTGAGAATTACAGGAATTATTGGCAAAGCTTTTAATTATTTGGCAGAACTGTATTGATGTTGAACTATTTCATGAGTTTGAAATGTTACAAAATATTTTATTTCATCAATATTTCATAGTTAAATTACAGTCACTGACTAGTGGAATCAAGGTCAGCTATATATGTTGCTCCATTTGAGTCAGAGTAATGGGAGTTCATTCTTAAAAATCAAATTTTAGAAATGAAAGGGATATGATTTAGCTCAGAAATATACATTTCAAATAACTTCATTATGTACAATGATTTCAAAATTCCTGTCTGACCCGAGACCAACTTGCTATTTAGTATCATATAGTATTATATCGTTAATACTTTGCTTAGTATTAAATGTAATCCTCATTTATTTTACTTGCTTTCCAAAAAATGTTTAAAACACAGTCCATATAAAAATAATTTTGATTGGGAAAATCAAATCAAATATTTGCATTCATCAATTTAAAGTAAGCCACAGAAAAAAAATCAGGAACACCAACATAACAGACACCTGTGTAGTGTCACAGAACAATTCTTTTACAAACAAACACAGGCACTTTTGAGATTAATTAAACTATGCAAAAAGGTAAACCCATTGTCAAAAGAAAAACAAGCAAGACACGATTGTTTTAAAAGAATCCACTAAAAAGCAAGACAAAGCTAAATAATAATGAGACACCATGGACGAATAAAGACATAAGGGAAAAGTTGAAACTCTGGAAAAAGGCGGTCACTAAGTACGTAAACAACAAGGGAGAGCATGACNAAAAAATACAAAGAGGTCAGGAGAATAGTCAAAAAAACAATTAAGACGGCAAAGAGAAATTATGAAATTAAATTATCAAGCAATATAAAAAGAAATAGTAAATTATTCTACAGACATATAAATAACAAAAGAAAAATCAAAATAGGAATAGGGCGACTAAGGGATGGACAAGATAAACTCACAGGCCGCAACAGCAAAATGGCAAAAATAATTACTTTATCTCAGTATTCACCAAGGAGACGGATCAGGTGGACATGTTAGTATAAGAAGAGATCGAAAATAATATAAATACATTTAAGATACAAAAGGGGGGATATATTCCTCAGAGAGGATAAAATCTCCTGGCCCAGATGGATTGCATCCGGGTATATTAAAAGAATCGAGGGAAGCGATAGCAGATGCACTATTACACATATATAATAACTCATTAGAAAAGGGAGGAGTGCCAGAGGACTGGAGCATAGCTAATGTCATACCTATATTTAAAAAGGGAGATAGAACAAGCTCAGGGAACTATAGACCTGTCAGCTTAACATCGGTGTTAGGAAAGAAATTGGAATCTTACTGAAGGAGGTAATAGAAAAACATCTAGAAATGGAAAACATAATAAAGAATAGTCAGCACGGGTTTCAAAAAGGAAGGTCATGCTTGACCAATCTCATTGAATTCTTTGAAGGAGTAACAGAAAGAGTAGACAAGGGGAATGCGGTATAGATGTAATATATTTAGATTACCAAAATGTGTTTGATAAGGTACCACATAATAGACTAATGAATAAGGTCAGGGCATGTGCAGTCCGGGAAAAATAGCAGAATGGATAGCAAGCTGCTACAAACAGAAAACAGAGAGTAGGGGTAAAGGGTAGCTACTCAAATTGACAGAGGGTTGGCAGTGGTGTTCCACAAGGATCGATACTGGGACCCACCGTTGTTCACAATATACATTAATGATTTGGATTCAGGAATCAGCAGTACAATTTCAAAATCTGTGGACGACACCAAATTGGGGGAAAGTAGTTAATACAGAGGAGGACGGCAACAAATTATAGCAAGACATTAATAAACTTGCTGAGTGGGCATTTAAATGGCAAATGCATTTCAATGTAGAAAAGTGTGAGGTGGTACATTTTGGTAGAAGGAATAAGGAAGTCACATACATCCTGGAAAATAAAAACCTCTAAAGCTGCTACATGAATGTTTATACATGACATTATTGTTGCCTAATGAGTAGTTAAAAATAAATTTAAAATATTCGTCCATGGTCGTGCTCTAGAAACTAATCAAAACTCTTAATTGTGTTGACCAGATTTATTATTGTATGTTCAAAAGATTATTCTTAAACATAATTTAATTTGTGATGGTAAATAGGAAATCAAATTCAAGAAATGTAAAGATTGTATATGTCTGGCTCAGTTTTCAGCACTCTCGCCTCAGAGTCAGGAGTTTGTGAATGTGGGTCACATATTGGGACTTTGAACTTGCATTGTCTAAGCTGACACTCAAGTTTAGTGCTGGGGAGTGCTGCATTATTGGAAGTGATGTATTTCAGATGTGACGTTAAACCAAGGTCCTATCTGCCTATCAGGTGGACATTCAAGATCCCATGGCAAAATTTGAAGAGAAGGGAGATTTTACCAGTGTCCTGGCCAACAAATCCCCTAATAAAATTTATCGTTATCGTCATGGCTGTTTGTGGGACATTGCTGTGTGCATATAAGCTTCTGCATTCGCCTACAAATACAATAATAAATCTACAATACAATCTAGCCATGGTAGAAAGAGTCCACTTGTATTGGCATTAGTTACATGGTGTCATTTGAAGAGATAGCAATATTGAATTGATTCTGTTGACAATATATCACTTGTATCACTGTCACTACTCATTACTGTTAAATGTTTCTTGGAAGATTCACTAACTTTTTTTATATTAATTTCAATTTTAACAGAGCAAAGTGACAACACAATGGCCTTCACAACAAGGCTATCAATATTAATATTTCTATTCAACACAAACATTCTTTGCCAAGTTGAATGTGATGATCCATTGCCGCCTCCTCCCCCTCCACAGTTTCGAACAAGTGCACAGTATCATTTCCCATACATACATCAATCGTTTCAATGTGCCAGTGAATGCCGTTGTTCACCATTCTTTCCTTTTGCCATGTACTGTGAGAGTCGGAAGCTAAAGTACATTCCCAATATCCCAGCAGGTACACACTATTTATACCTGCAGCACAATGAGATAGAAGCAGTACCCGAGAAGGCGTTCATCAATGCCACATCCCTTCAAGAAATCCACCTCAGTTACAACAAAATAAAATCTTCCATGATAGACAAAGGTGTATTTGGGAGGCTAAAATCCCTTGTTCATCTTCACCTGGAACACAACAAATTGGATAAAGTTCCAAGTCCTCTGCCAAGCTCACTTGAAAGACTTTTCTTAGGTTTCAACAAGATAAGCAAGCTGCCTGGGGACACTTTTCATGGATTGGTTAACATTACCATGTTGAATCTCTGCAATAACCAACTCACCGATGGTTCCTTCAAGGGAAATATTCTTGCAAGAATGAAGAGCCTCATGCAGGTAAACCTATGTAACAACAAGCTGAAATCTATGCCAGCAGAACTCCCAGCCTCTCTTTTGCAGCTTTCAGTGGAAAACAACTCTATATCATCTCTCCCACCAAATTACTTCAAGAAAGTTCCACACCTCATCTCATTAAGGATGGCGCATAATAAACTGAAAGAAGTTCCATATGCTGTATTCAACCTCTCAAATCTGCTGGAGCTGAACATGGGGTACAACAAACTAAGTCAAGCCTTCTACATTCCCAGGCGTTTGGAACACTTGTACCTCAACCATAACCATTTTACAAGTATGAGAAATGTCCTATTATATTTTCAGTAATTAAGTGCCACAATTTAAAAATATATAAAAATATAAGCAGCTTACTCCTTGCATTGCTCTATTTGCTTCACTTATAAGTAAAATACAAACATGAAGAGGCAATAACAAACAAAAACGAGTGGCAGTGGTACATTTTTTAAACAAAAAATTCTATTGCAGATTTCTATTAATGTTTATTTTTTCCTCCCCAGGGTTTAATATTACACTGATGTGTCCTACAACTGATTTACAGAACCCAAAACAACTGACCTACATGCGAGTTGACAAAAATATGTTGACACGTAGGTTTGATGCGTTCCTGTTCGCTTGCTTCCCCCGGTTACAAGCTTTGGTTTATGGTGAACAGAATGTTGCACCAACTGCTGAACATCGAAGAGAGCCTCGACTGTTTGGGATGCCAGTCACATCACCCGATGGAGAACCAGACAATCCTCTCCCTTACTAATCTTACCCCAATGTACTGAAGGCTTCTGAAGCAAAGATTGCGATTCTTGTGGTTCCCATTTGTTAATACAAGCCTTGCTTTCTCCCATGGTTAACCTAAATCATTGAGGTAAGATGTGTCTACGGAAAATTTCATATTGTGCTTCAACAATCATGTAGCAAGTCAAATAAATACATGACTTGACATGATTACATAGTTAAGCATAGGTTCATATACTTTATGATAATAAGTTAGACAAACATGTGCGCCATGAATGCCAGTAATTATTTGTTGTAATTTCAGGTCAAGGTCTAGACCAAGCATGTTTAAAAATAACCAAATTAACCAATTTTAACAATGTTCTGGAAGTTTATCTTATTGACTAAAAAGGCAGGAAAATTTGCTAGTCTCACTTAGGTCACCTGCGAGAGAGAGAGTTTAATAAACTCAAAACTACGAGATTTAAGTTTATGGGCTCCAGGGAATTGTATCCCAACAGAAGAAAAAAAAGTCAAAAAATGCTTTCATGAGTGGGGAATTGGAGAAAATTGGAAGAGAATTTTTTTTTAAAAACCTCTGATTTAAGGACTAATTAATATTTGTAAACCTGCCCATGGAGTTGGCAATTCCACCCAAACAGCAGCATTCCATAACCAATACTGGCACCTTCCCTGTTAGAATTAGAAAATAACCTCGCAAGTTATAATTTGTTGTAGAAAAATATTAAAATACAAAATAAAATTACAAATAGTCCCCTCAAGATCCTCCTGCCGAGGACTACTATTTTTTTGAGCTCCCTCACCACAGCTGAATCTCTGCAATAACCAACTCACTGATGCTGCAGCTTTTTATTCAACTCTTCAGGGAAGCCACAGTCTGAGTAGTTCTGGGTGCAACTATGGAATCACCCACCAAGGACAACACATTTAAAGAAAGGTTTCTTCTGAACATCAATTATGTTAATTGGGGTTTAGTAATGTATTGTCCTTTTTTTCCTGGCACAGTTCCATTGACTACACAGTTTCACATGAGTTATGCACTCATGTTTTTCAAAGCTCATACACTATTTTAAATATTGAATCAATGACAGTTTTACAACTGTGGCTCCACTTGGTATTAGTTTATCAGTGATTGCAACTTGTAGCAAAAAAGCATAATTTATATATGATATATTTTACATGTAGCCATGCTAAAAATTTTGTTTAGCTCAATGTATCCATCTTCATGCTTTCTACTAATTAATGTTTTCTCTTACTTTACGATGAAGATGAAAGATCCACCTTCATCACTCCTATATTTTTATTTTACTAAATAAAATTTAATGTATGGAAAAGTCACTGGTATTGTCTTCTCTTTATGGAGTCAAAATGTTAGGGAGGAAAAAAAGTCAAGAACCTACATAGAATGATACACATTACCATCGAAATAGGCCACTTGGACCAACTAGTCCATGCTGATGTTTATACCCCAAAGAAGTCTCTACCAATCCTAATTACCCCTCCCCGGTCTCCCTCCATGCTACTATATTCCCTTATTTCTCATGAACACATTGAGTTTTCTCTTAATTACATTAATGCTTTAGGCTTCAACTATAGGTTGTGGCAATGAGTTCCATATATTCACCTAAATCCTTTCAGGGCAACAAGAAATGTTGTTGATATATTTGCATTATAATTTAATTTGAATTGCAAGTTAAACATAACATTGATTGAACTATAATTTTCCTGTTACTTTTATGAGAGCCTGCACAATGGCAATGAATGTTTAAGTGCTAAAGATGAGATATGGAGGAAGGAACAAATAGAAATTGAGTCCTTGTCTCACTTATTTGCTGATCTAAATGATGTCAAGTGTGGAGTTGCTGCTTCCTGAGGGGAAGCCATGCCTAGACAATACCTGGCAGCTATAAGTGACTGTGAGCAGGCTGACCCTCAGTTTCTCAGGTGCTTTTCAGACATTATTCTTGTCAGACAGAACAAAGATGAGGAATAATTTATAAACAACATACCTGTAACTTTTTCATGTAAAAAAAGACCAAAACATTGAAATAAATGCCTGGATTATTAACCACCAATCTGAGTTCTGAGAGCATAAAGGAGTTTGAAGTATTTAGGAAAGAAACAACAGCAAAATGGAACTGATCTCAGCAGGCTTGGAACTCTAACATCACAGGTTTGAACAGCAAAAGGTTTGTTCTTAATTGGGTGTAATCTCAATAAACCTTTTCATTTCATGGCAAATATTTCTCAAATTATTGAACTCTTAAAAACAGGATATTGAAACCATTCCAAATGACATCATGTCTTCTGTAGAATACTGTCTTGGCTACAGTAACATCAACAGCTGGATTCTCTGCCAATTCGCCCAACGTTCTTAAACCAGCCATACAATCAGATTTAACAGCACTAATTTGTTTTGAAATACCATCTCATTTCAATTTGGCATTCACCAAAACTAAAGGAAAAGAAAGCACAGAAGGGAGGGTTCCCAATTTAATATAATTGTCCATCCTCCATAATAAATCAAGGTCATTTTGAAAACAGATTGAAATGTTTACAATTCGATGCCATTTGATTGATTGAGCTGCTCATAGTTCTAGTCCTTTTGTTCTCAGTTTGATCCATCATTTTAAGCCCTCTCTCTGCATGAAGCCAATCAGTTGATATCAGATCTGGGAATACCATTTAGTGCTTCCACATAGAATACCTTATATCAGCATTGCTTCCTGTCTAAAAACCAAGCCGAAGGCATCTTGAGCTGGGAATATTCAGTAGCAATAAGGCATACAAAGCATGATATCTCAAAGTGCTTGACACTGGTAGCTGGACACCCAAGTTGGGGGGAGGGAGCTCAAGATAGCGGGAGAAAGTCAGATAACCAATAATTCATATATTTGTTACCGACATTGAAAAATACCCAAATTTTAAGAATTGTGAAGTTCTGCTATTCTGGATCTGTTCCAGTTCAGTCACTGACAGGAAAAGTAAATCATGCAGCCCAGAGAGCCTCCACTTGCTTCAGTGGAGGCAGATCCTTGGGAGCAGCTTGGGCGTTAACAGACAGCTATCCAGCGTGCAGTAATTTCCAGCTGGTAATGTGCTTGTGTGGGTCAGTCTGAAGCATCAGCCTTGATTGAGGTAAATGGAGCTACTCTGGGCCCCTTGGCTCTAGTCTGCAATAACGGTAAATGTATAAATATTTCCAAAAGCCAGCTTTAGTTTCTTTATGCTTCCACACTTTGTTTTGCTCTCTGGCTACACATAAGCATTGCAACTCCTACTCCTTTTACACATAACAGATGAAGCACATCTGACATCTCAATTATTTAATCACATATCACTGCATATTCTACAACAAGAAGGAGTTGAGATACAATCAAAGTTCCATGTTAATCAAATCAACATTTATTGATGGATTTAATAGGTCATTTCAATTCCTTTTTGGCAATTTCATTTTCCACCATCGGGTGCCAATGTTCATTGTCTGATATATTTTTCTCCTCAAGAGATATTGTTTTATTTGTGGCCAACACACAGAAAATAATTGAGACACGATAAATTTATTTGCTGTTGTATGTATTTCAAGTGACTGTGTTTATCAAGCTGAGAATGTGTGTCAGCCTGGCTTGGTTGGTAGCACTCTCGCCTGAGTCAGAAGGTTTAAAGCCCAATGTTGGATTTTGGAACCCATATAATCTAAGCTGACACTCTAGTGCAATGCTGGGGTTTACTGCATTGTCGGTGGTGCTGGCCTTCGAATAAGAAGCTAAACCAGGTGGACGTTAAAGGTCCCATGGCACTATCAAAACGAGAAGGGGGTTTCTCTCAGTGTTCTAGCCAATAATCACCCAATTGGTTACTCACTCCAAGGTTGTTTGTGGGACAATCCTGTGTACAAATTGATTGCTGCGTTCACCCACAAAATACAGTTACACCACAATGCCACAAATACTATATCAAATGCAAGGATTTTCAAATATCAGATACCAGAATACTTCTGTTTGGACATCTAGTGTCAGTATTGAGCACTCCAGGCTCCAGGTAAAATACAGCTCAATTCAGATTGAAACTCCCTCTGCCCAACACGATTGACAACAACAAGAACTTGGAATTATATAGCACCCTCCACGCCGGACGGCGTCTCATAGCGCTTCACAGTAACGGATCCCGAGGCCGAGCCAGGGGGAAGGGGGGGAAGGTGACCAAAGGCGCGGTCAAAAAGGTCTTCAGCAGAGACCTGAAAATAGGAAGAGAGGGGCCGAGGTGAAGGGAATGAGGAAGGGAGTTCCAGAGCCTCGGGGCATAGTGGCTGAAGGCACGGCCACCGAGGGTGGAGCGGAGGACTCGGGGGACAAGGAGGAGGCCAGACCCAGAGGAACGAAGGCAAGTTTTGAGGAGCGAGGTCGGGGGGTGCAGAGAAATGGAGGGATTTGAAGACTAGGGTGATGATCTTGAAGTCGATCCTCTCTGGGATAGGCAGCCAGTGCAGTCTGGCAAGGACTGGGGTAATCGGGGAGCGGAGTTTGGTGCAGGTGAGAATGCGGGCAGCAGAGTTTTGAATGATCTGGATTTTATGAATGGTAGTGGAGGGGAGACCGGCGAGGAGGGCGTTTGAATAGTCCAGCCAAGAGTACCTTAAAGTACCTTAACTCCAACTATGTGAATGTGAAGATTTCTTCACCAGCCATCCTTTTAGCTTTGAAGTAAGACTGCCATTTTTAAGGGATACAACTTTAAATATTTATGATGTGTATAACAGCAGTTAATATGAAAGCTATTTTATCTGTCAAATGACATATTATCCCAAGGGTGGAAAAAGCTTGTAGTAGAAAGTAAATTGACATTGATTCTACCCTACCAATTTTCAAAAACAAGAACTGTGCCAAATGTACAAATAATTTTATTCCGTAAGCAAAAATCTCTCAAATCTGTGTGTTAACAGCCATTAATAACAGTATATTTTTAATCACTTGTTACCACGTATTTCACCTGATATTAAGTACACATGAATATCCAAACCGATATATTTAAAAAACAGAAAAAACCTTAGGAGGCCAGAATCACTTGTCAAAATGAGGAGAAAATCTAAAGCTCTGTGTATTGCATTCAAGTGCTAAACATTCAGATTTGACCATTACTGTATAAACACACATCCCTGTGAATGGGTTACAATTCTTAGCTAGGGGAGAGTGGTCATTTTACGAATGACTACAAGTACAATGCAATTCAGAGCCATTAGTATACAACACAAGGCTCCCATTGAAAAGCTGTTTACTTTTGCCAATAATTGACAAAAAATCACAAGCATTTTTCAAAGATGCAATACTTGAACTTCAATTGTCTCTGAACCAGTTAAACCAATGCAGCTATTGAGCCCCAAGTTTAAAACTAAGAACAGCTAAGACACACTAACAATAGTTTATAAATTCACACTTTTTGCAAGTTTATTTTCTTTCTTTGTAGATGCATTAACTTTTACCGTGATGAATAAAATGCAACGATACTGTTCAGCAACTTAACAGTCAGAAGATGAAGACTGCCAAATTGAACAATATTCATAGGTTCATCACTCAACAATTGCCAAAAGTTTCCTTTTTAAAGAATAAAACTAGCTTCTCCAATGTGCATTTATCCAATGAATAACTGAGCTATACAAACCTCGAGTGCCCAAGGTTCAATTCCTGGTCTGTACTGTGTTAACTGATCTGTCAGGGCAAGTGTTGAGGTTACAACTGGAATTTATGGTTAAGATACACGTGTAATGATCACTGGGGAGGGAACAGGGAAGTACTGGCGCCTGTAGAATTGTATCCCAGTCGAAGAGAAAAAAAACACAGAACTTTTAAGAGAGTGGAGAAAAAAAGCAAACAATAAGAAGAAAGTGATGGGGGTAGAATCTATTTTGTGAAATAATAATAATCCTTGCATTTGACATAGCGCCTTATCACGTTGGAAAGACTTCTCAAAGCACTTCACAAGATTTACTGTGAAACGGAGTGACTGTGTATTTGTAGCAAACACGGCAGCACAATTGTACACAGTAATGTCCCATAAACAGCCATGAAACAGATGATCAATTTCATTATAATTTTATTGTTGTGATCGAAACATTTTAAAAAAAAATTCAATGTCTTTTTTAAGAGTTTTAAAAATAGATTGGATTTACTCCACCAAAATAACCATGTCATACAGGTCAATGTCATGAGAAATATCCTGCCAGCTCTTTGGAGGGTTGTTTGAATGATATGAAAGTACCAGTCTTCAAGTCAAATAAGTGATCAGAATTAAGTCAGTTAAATGATCAATGCACTGCGCTGATTGTTTAGCATGTTGAAAATTCAGGCCAGGATTAAAGTCTAGGCTTGAAAAATCAATGTCTTCAACTTATTTTACTTATGGTTAAGTAAATAAAATGGGTGCAATTCAGTAAGTAAAATATAAAATAACTGAAAAGCTTTGCCTTCAAAAAACAAAATGCGTATGGTTGGTTTAAAGGAGTTTATAATGATATCGCTGCAAAATTTCATGTTGCCGACAGACTGCATAAAATGTTGTTGTTCCAACTGGAATTGAGAAAGGAATTCACGGGGTTAAGGGAGTCTCATTCTTCTGAAACTTCTGGCAGCAACTGGTGAAAGCTTTAAATACCGATTTAACAGATTCCATTTCTAAGCCACAAGGACCTATACTACTCTATTCAGGACTTCAGCCTTTCAACTGCTTTCTCAGAATCTAGTTTAAAGTCTATGGTCCAAAATGAAGGGGCTATGTCCTGTAGTTCTTTTAGTTGTATTTGCTGATATAGCATTCACAGCACCAGCTCACACTGAAGATCTATTTCATGTTTCTGATTTGGAAATGGATTTTGGTACAGAAACAAGTTACGAATATCAGGATGAGCCACAGGAAATAAAGCAAGTAAAGGTAATGTAGCAAATTTAACATTTTGGGCATCAACAAACCTTTTATTTTATAAAGAACTGGGTAATTTAAATGACTACAACCAAAATAAATAAGGTCACTCCACACATGCAAAACTAATATTAGTGATTGTTAATACTGCAGTAAAACTCATAGTATGCTGTAAAAATGCTTTGTATGAACCATACCATAAAGCACCTTTAAAAGAGTGATTAAACATAAAGCCAAATTAATTTTACCTATTCACTTCATTGAGTACTTCTTCAAAATTGTTTGATAATAATATGAAATAATAGATTATTTGCTAGAATAACCATCGGATTTTAATTATAAGCAAGAACGATTGTAAAAAATGAGAGCAAAGCATGGTAGTTTACAACAAAAATATATTGTTTTCATTTATAAATGAATTTAAGATATCTTCTGGTGAAGAGATTAGCTTCAGTAATACAGCAGTTAAGTGATTACCTGGATACAAATTACATGCAGTAACCAACCATATACTGTACAATTCAATGCCTCATTTATATTAAATGTAACGAGTTGCCACCTAATATTGCTCGCTCGCACTCCTATCTCAACCTCTCCACAGCCATCCTTCCACGCCTTTGTCACCTTGGTTAAATTTCTCCAATGCTCTCCTCGTCATCCTCCCTAGCTCCACCCTCCACAGCCTTCAACTTATCCAATACTCTGCCACCCATATTCTCTCCTACACATTTATTACTGCAATCCTCACCAGCTTTCACTGGCAACAGATCGAATTTAAGACCTCCAGATCCCTTTACAGCTTCCCCCTCCCTCCACCATCTCCTCCAGTTCTTTTATTTCTGCTGTGTCCTCCACTCTTCTGACTAGTCTATTGCTCATTCCTCACTCTCTCTGCCCCACCATTGATGGCACTACAGCTTTGCTATGGAGCTCTCTCTCAAAATCCCTTCACCTGCTCCTCTCCTGGTCTTCGAAACCCTCTTCATAGAATCATACAGCAGAAAAAGAGGCCATTCGGCCCATCGAGTTTGTGCCAGCTCTTTGAATAGAGCAATTAATGTCAATCCCACTCCCCAGCCCTTTCCCCATAACCCTACAAACCCGTCCTCCTCAAATACCTGTCCACCGTGTTTTTAAAAGTTGTTACCGAATTGGCCTCCACCACCCTTTCAGGCAATGCATTCCAGGTTCTTAAAAACTCTTTGACCAAAGGTCAAAACCCTTAAGTTTCCCTTCCTTTTATCCTTGTTTAGTGTGAAGCACATCAAGACATTCGTCCTAAAGGAAAGACATTGTGCAGAGCAATTGCAAGTTGTTGCTGTATCATGAGCAGCCTATAACATTCTCATTAGCATGACTCACTTGTAAATTGCTCACCAAACCAGCTGTGCGCATTAATAGTTCACAATATAGCACTAAAGTTACTTAAACAATTTATATAGCATGTTTTATGTTAGGAGGATATCTCAAAGAGCTTGAATTGGAAACCTCAATTTATTCAGAAGGCCCTAAAAGCCTAAACTAATACACAAGGACTGAAAATAATCTTCATCTCTAGGTTTTCACAACTATTGTAAACGTAATCTAAAAATGTTATCCTCACTGTTAGCCATCAGTTTTCATAACAGGACAAAGCATTCCGTTTAATGTTCACTTTCCACCAGATAGATAAGTATTTTTTTATAAAATGGTTGTTTCTGTTGTTGAAAGCCAGAAGAAAGGGCCACTCCAGTTGTTGCTGCTAATGTGAACAGCGAACTCGAAACCACAAATCCAGAGGAAGATTCAAATTCTGAGGTCCCCGATGCTGGTGAGTGCTGTATACGTTCTACTGCTCACCTCCTCACTGCCACATATACAGCTTCCATTTATACACTGCAATTGGGACTTTGTAACTAGCAAATCATCCACCATCACCTGCTTTATGACACAATAAACAACAACAACAACAAAATTACATTTATAGAGCGCCTTTCACGTCGGGAGAACGTCCCAAGGCGCTGGACACAGCTTCCCATGGACAAGCTACATTCTGCAAAGGTGTATTCAATGTCCTTGGATGTTTTTTTCTCTTTCCTTTTCTTAGAGCCACTTAGTAAACCTGATGTCTGTTCTTTTCTTGCTCCATCAACCTCTCCACCCCTCAGCCCTTCATGCATATCTCTTTTCCCCCATTTTTATTTTACTCTCACACAGTTTGGTTACATTTTCCTCTATGCTGAGGATATACTAGTCATGGCATTTCAAGAGCTCCTTCTACTAGAAGGTACATACTTCCTCAGATCTTGGTTACAAGAGACGTTTATACAGATTTTCAGGAACGAGGTCAGCCATACACAACTCAATGAAAATTATCTGTATTTCAGAAATGCCAACTTGCCTTCTGTGCGTCTGTCTAATTGGTTCTGTGTACTGTGAAGAAACCGACATTGAATCAATTCCTGTTTTGCCAAAGGAAACAGGATACCTCTATGCACGTTTCAACGAGATAAAAAAGGTCACTGTAAACAATTTTGCTGATATTAGTGAGTATTCTCTTCTATTTACTATAAGGTCCTGTAGATTTACTCTCCACAGAGCTAATGGTGAAAGACAATACAAGACAGGGAGTTACAAGCTTATTCCTGTTTGGAGTTTGCATATCTCAGCTACGGCAGCAATTGGTCTTTCACCTCTGGGCTGCTATGGGAAAATCAGCAAGGGCTGATTGCTATCCAGAGTCCCTTACTGAAAGTATGTGGGTGTGGATATCAGTGAAGACAGCACTTGATTGGATTGGGGCAACCAGTATTTTCAGAAGCAAACAGAAAATTAACCCAAAATGATATTTTAGCAAAAATCACATCAAAAATCTAATTAAATTATACAAGAAAGATAACAATATTGCTGTAAAATTTGAATAATAGTTTAATTCCACAGTGTTCTACCATTAACAGGTATAACACACCACAAGGTATGCAAAAGATAAAGAGACTTTGATAGTTGTATTTACAGGAAAAATGTTTGAATAGCAATTTGCAAAGATCTAGTGTGTATTTTGGGAGAAGTATAAAGAGACAAGTCACATTCTTACTTTTCTTTATTACTGAATAAAGCATCTCTGAGAACAATCGACCTGACTGGAAACATGATCTCAGAGATAGAAGATAAAGCCTTTTCACAGCTTCCAGATCTTGAAGTGCTTATCCTTTCTGAAAACAATCTGCTCCGTCTTCCTACTTTACCACCAAAGCTGACAATTCTTAATGCAGAATACAATCGTATTAAAAGCAATGGAATAAAAAAAAACGCTTTTAAGGTAATGTAAAATATTTTGGATTGCAGTTTCATTATGATTTCTAATTGAGTTTATACGTTTGGAGGGTACTAGATTGCCCAGTTATTATTCAACAGTTTAACAGGTCAGAATAATCGTTCCAAGTTATGTTTTACAGAATAAATCTTAATTACTTCAACAGCTAACGGTTATTATATTCAAGTATGTTGCACTGATGGCACAAAAATGTTTCACAAGATCTCACTTAGCGCATTGATGTGGCAAGAAAAATTAGATTTGAAGTCTCTACAGCTCCAATCTTCTGCTGGTCTTGGTAGCCACCAACAGAAGTATTGTCAGTGATAATCCAATAATTAGGAGTTGTCATAGTATGATTTTAAAAAGCTAAAACCTTGCACAATGTTTCTTTCAGAACCTGCCGGCCTTTCAATATCTCTACCTTGGACATAATCAACTGGACAAAGTACCTGTGAACATACCTGACACCCTTCGCATCCTTCACTTACAGGTCAGACATACAATAAACATAATTATAGTCTTCCAATCCATACAAGACTGCTGCAGCTTGGGCTCTACGATATGCAAGCATGTCGCCTGCTTGTGCTGCAGTGCAGCTTAATACAGTATTGTTATATTATGATTTTAAGATAAAAATATTTTGCCACTTTCCACTTTGCAGCACAACAACATAACTACTATTTCGGACGACACATTCTGCAAACCTCATGATTCCAGGTATATCCGTTACATCCTGGATGAGATTCGGCTAGAAGGCAACCCGATCAATCTGGCAGAATATCCCAACAGTTACATCTGCTTACCACGACTCCCCATTGGAAGACTCCGGTAGTCATAAAGGGAAATGTAAAGCAACACGTAAGAACAGCTAAATGCTTACGATAAAACACTGCCTTTTTGGATATATTCTCATTCATTGTTAACCCTATATCCATTATTATACTGATACTACACCGATGTATGCACACTGGTTTACCTACAGGGCAGCCTACACCCAAATTACATGTCATATTATTGACAGAAATTCATGTCTAAATTAGCTGAGGAAATGACAATACCTTCAGATACAATCTGCATTATAAGTCGCCACCTATATCAATTCACATTAATTATACTATTAAAATAGATTCATTTAAAATATCAGACAATTAAATGATATGCTGGGCTGCAGTTTCACACCATAATTTGATATAAGTCCCATATCATAATATTTCAAACTGCAAGCACATACTGAATGAACTAATTAAATATGGTGTGCATTTATATTTTAGAAAAATGTTAGTATCTTACTGTGCCTAATACTTAATACTTTACTTAATTTTGTAGTTTAACATGAATTGATTTCAAAATAAAGTGCTTTTGAAAAAGTAGTATCTTTGTAATTAATTTTTAGTATCATTTGATATTTGTATAAATCACTCATTTGTTTTTTAAAAAATTCTACTGTAAAAAAAGCTCTCAGATTATTTGTTTCAACTTGTTAAAACAACAACAACCAGTTTTCACTATAGAACTCTTGACTGTTGAATGCCATTGTCAATACACGCCTCAATTAGCACTGATTGATTAATTCATCAACATCTTTCAAACATTAAAGCATTAAACTGCTTGGGCCAACAATTTTATTGTACAGCTCCCTGCAAATGCAAAACTCTTGAATGGAATTGCTGAATGCTCCAGCTACCAGGAAAATTAGGTTTCTATTAGTTCAGTGGTGCATTTTCTGCCTAATTGAAGGCCAAGATTAGCTTTAATGGCATACACTCATAACTTCAGTCATAAAATTCCTTAAAAGTATTTAAAATGGAACTTAGTGATTGAAGACATCAGAACTGGGTATTAAGATGCTGTCCTACCTTGAAATGCCGAAAAGTGCTCTGACGACAATCGTACCATTTTGTAAAAACTGAGAGTGTTCTGAAAAATAGTAAAAGGCTCTTCTGTTCTTCAGCTCTGGAAGATAAAACGGGAAGTTGATTAAACACAAAAAAAATCTAAAAGTATTAACAAGCTACGGTTAACATTGAATTCTGTGCTGAGATCTACAAGATAGTTCAAGCACTTTCTGCAAAGTGAATTCTTATTTCAGACAACATGGACACAGTACATGCAATGAAATAGAATGGCAGAACACTGAACTTACTTGTGAGGAAGGTCTTTCACTAGTCACTATTGATATCTTGATCACCACTGATCACCACTAGAATAAACCTGGTCTACTCCTCCCTTCCATGTACACACCACAGGAGCGAGAGTGGCAAAAATCATCACTTGGCAAAAACCACAATGTACTTAGAGATATGCAAATTCTGCCTCTTTTTCTCATTACCATGTAATGTTAGTGGTTTACACCAGTAGCATTCCAGAAGTCAAGGTTTTGAATCCTGCTATGGTAGTTGTGCATAACATAATTCGCTGTATTAGAGATTACAGCACAAATGGGGTGTGGACTCCAACATTTACTCATTGAAACTGCGTGCAGAAAGCTCCAGTGACACACATCATCATTCTAAATAACTTTGTTTTGAACCATGACAATGCAAAATGACAGCCTCTTTTGAAGTGTGACATCGCAATTTGAAGTGTGATGTGCACCAGTGAAGCCGGCTGGCTTTCTGTACACATGTAGTGTCATCACCAGTCATTTGATCAATGAGATCACAATGTGGCAGTGCTGACCAGGTTCACCCAAGTATTGCCTTATAAAGGGAATCTACTGTTATTTGAATTTTAAAACATTTTGATTTGAGCTGCAACCAGAAAAAGCTGCTGGATTATCGCGAAAAAACGTTTCACTGACATCCTTCTGAAGATCATATGAAAAGAAAATCAGACTCTATTGATCTTTAGCAATATGATGATGCTGTATGGAAGACACCAACTTCTTGATAAACAATAAAATGACATTATATACTGCCTTTCCCAAGGACGTCCCTAGGCGCTGGACAATTAAAGTTTTGCACCCAAGCTGGGGATTGGAATCAAGAGGGTATAAAAAACTATGAAACTATAATAAACTACAAAACAGATCTAGTAATGAAAACCAATTCCTTGAATAGTTAGAAAACCAACATTATATTTGAACAGCAGAAACGTATTTTAGGCAAAACACAGAAGGCTTGAGTATTAGCCCTTAACAACTTGCATTTACTGTTTATAGCGCCCTTCATGTGGGTAGTGTCTCAGAGAGCTGGACGTGTTTTCAAATCAATTTATTCTGGGCAGGCAGGGGATAGCCTGTTGGCATGTTGGGATGAATCAGACTAGAATAAGCACCTGGGAAGTCCACAAACAAATGTTCACAAAGGATTGGAACTAACTGCTAATACCGTTGATTGAGCTAACCAAAAGAGATTAGATAGATGGATGGACGTATGGACAGACAGATACTTTTTAAGTAAGGATATTAAAGCGGGGGAAAAAAAACATATAGATATAGAATTAAAATGAGCTCTCATACACTGAATGGGGAAGGAGGCTCAATAGGCTTCTCATATTCGCCCACAAATATACAGTCAATTCACTTTACAGTATATTCTGTGAAGTGCTTTGGGACGTCTAGAAGACATGAAAAGCGCTATATCAAATGCAAGGATTATTATTATTATTATATTCCTATACATTACTGCTTCAACATAGAAATACAGGAATAGACAGGACAGAGAAATGACCAACTGGGTGGTTCCAGAGTAAAAATAAATAGTCCTACGGTGGAGCAGACAGAATCAAAGTGAAAATAACGGATCTGTTACCAAACCGTTTTAGCTTAATAGAAACAGCAGAAATAACCAGAAAGGTAGCAATTTCATATGAAAATATCACATTGACGTAAAAATCTGACTATGAATAAAGAAAACCTTTCTGGAAAAAGTGTACCCAAATACAATACCTCTTCAACCTTTGCTAAGATTTATTATCCAGCGGTATTCAATTTTCCTTCATATTTTTGCCAAGAAAAAGACCGAATTCAATTCAATAATTTCCAGATGTGCTTCCATGTTGCCATGTTACATAAACTTTTGGCACAATATAAATGCAAGGCAACGTTTCAGTCCCAACCTTGATAGAGTTTCAAGCTGTATACTCTGTTTTCCACATTTCAGTAAGACATACGTGGAGCATTTCTGATTAGAAATAATTAATTCACTGGAATTTATTAACAGTTGTATAAGTTGAATTTTTTTTAAACTTTGCATATGTCTGAATTTTTTTTAACAATATATCTATGAACTACAGAAGATTGTGCAACCTTGGTAACAACTCACATGCACATAGTGCCCTTCATGCAAGATAGTCTCTTAGAGCGCTGTATACATTAGCTTTTATAATTTTATAGTTTAGTGCAGAGTGCAATATTTTGGCTGCTGAGGGCCAGATGCCAGGGTTGAGGAACGTCTGCAGGCCGCAGAAGGAATATTTTTGTGTTTCCCTTCAAGAAACATAACACTTACACAGAGCCCTTTTCATATCAAGAAGAACGTCTAAAGTGCTTGACACTGCCGGCTGGGCACCTGAGCTGGGGTATAGGGAAATGATGAGTGAAAGAGTTAGGTCTTGACGAGCCTTGAAAGAGGGGAGGGAGGGATTCGTAGGGGATGGAGCTCCAGAGTGGGGTGTAAAATACTGATGGTGGGGAAGATGGGGTGAGGGGACATGAAGCAAGCTGGTGTTTGGGGCAAAGGGAACGGCTAGGTCGGGAGATCGCATCATAGAGCTAGGGTGAGGAGGCGGGGGGTGTTGCAAGGGAAGTAGAGGAGTTTTTCACTGGGGAAAGAGGGATCTTGCTGTGAGGAAACTGAACGGCACGGCATGTCACTCAGGGTCTGTCCTCGGTCCCCCGTTACAACTGAGGAAGGCTTCAATCATCTGTTCTGACAGTGAACCATAAGAGTCTGCTCTCATTTGGCCTCTCTCTCTCTCAATCACTCTCTCCCCACGCCCCACTACATCTGTGCCATGACCCGCTCTGCCATCCCCCACATCTTCACCCAGCTCTGGCACTGACTCACACGCAGGCCGCTGAGACCCTCATACTTGCTTTCATTACACCCAGGCTTGACTATGTAAACTCCCTGCTTGTCAGCCTCCCCAACTCCTCCCTCCATAGGCCGCAGATCATCCAGAACTCTGCAGCCCGTGTCCTCTCCCGCACCAGGATCTGTGACCCTATCCCCCTATCCTTGCCCGACTCCACTGGCTTCCCTTCACACAGAGGATACAGTTCAAGATCCTGGTCCTCACCTTAAAAGCCCTCCATGGTCTTGCTCCCCCTAACTCTGCGACCTCCTAACCCCCTACCATCCTGCCTGCTCTCTCCGCTCAACGGGCTCCGGCCTGCTTCACATTCCCCGCCTCGCTCGCCTTCTGCCACTCCGCCCCCACTCTCTGGAACTCCACCCCACAGTCCCTCTGCCTCACCCCCTCCCTCGGCTCCTTCAAGTCCCATCTCAAGATCCTTCTCTTCCACCGTATTTTCGATCTCCCTGCTTCCCGCCCTGCCCTCCACCTTCCCCGACCCCAAGCTCAGGTCTGAAACTCTGAATGTCCAGGTCCTTAGGACGTCCTCCTGACGTGAAAGGCTCTATACAAATGTAATTTTGTTGTTGTTGTATACTTCTAGGGGCTAAAGATGACCTGCAGAATCAAAATCAATTTCCTTTAATTTTAAGATAACATATTGTTCCATTCCTTCTGTGAAACAATGATTTTACTTTTACAATACATAATCAATAATTCTGCCAGGTCTGTTGCTTGCTCTGTTACGATCATTGTTCCACTATGTAACCAATTCTGATCCAATTTATCATCACAAAAATGATCAAGAATCAGATAAAGAGTAAAGAATAAGAACATGTATCTATTGCACCCTCTGCTGCTGGCAAAATGAGTAACAGAATAATTGAAAGCAAAGGATAGTAGAGCCTTGTTATAACACAGTAATTGGGTTCTATAAAGGGGCACCACCACCGTCTGTAAATAAAATACAGAAGTTTTATGCTACAAAATAATTTCTGTTATTCAAGAGAGTTTAGTCTGGCACAAGTTCATGTAAAGATTCAGAAAAATACTAGATATGGAGTGATTATTAATCCCTCGGGTACGCAACCATACAAAACATAGCAGATTTGGGTTCCAGGAATTAATGTTAAGATGCGGAAGTTCTTCCACATGCATAACTACGAAAGATTATGATTCAGACACCTGAAAAATCCCAACAATTTGTCAAGGCCTAAAAATTAATACATATCCATATCAATCCAAGAATTCTACATTGGGAACAAAGTAGAGAATATTTTTCATTAAGTTAAGGGGAAAAGACTTGGATGGTTAATTGATTGTAATAAAAGATGAGAATTCTATAAATCTGCCTTCATATGAGAACTTGAAATTATCAAGACATACCTGGATATAAATCTGCTCAAATCATAGAATTCATTGGATTCCAAAATAATGTTCAGTTCTGTAATTATAGCTGCAACATTTCCTTCAATCTAAAAGAAAAATTGTGTCCATCAGTTTTTCTACTTTTATAACAAATACAGATAAGTGTGGATATGTGGATACCTGATTTATGCAGCATACTTACATACTAATATACACTGATCCCAGACATTATCTTTACAGAGACCATAATTTGTGTGAAATGTAGTCAAAGGGAAATTAATTATTTTCTTACTATTTTACTTTAAAACTTTTCTTGTTAATTCATTAGGTATAAAATCTGTGGCACGTTAAAAATACAGTATAATTAATTTCACAAATAAATAAACAACATATAAATCAGATATCGGTAAATCAAAGCAGTGTAAGAACATGTTGAAAGAAAGTATGTGTGTGAGAAAGATACCACATGTTTATAAGATGAATCCCAGTTAGTTTGAGGAAAAGCCAACTTGCTCTAACGAGCAGAAGTTTCTCACTGAAGTATTATTTCAGAAGGAGTGGAAGTGGGAATATGGAATTTAATAATATTCCTGGGATATGAATCGGGCTTTACAAAATAAGACATAGAGTTATAAAATGTAAACAATCGCCCATATGCTTTGGAACAGATTAGATTTTGATTCAATTGAGTTGATTACCTCTATCATAGTGAAAAAATATTGTTTTCTCACTATCGTGAAACAACTGATAGTGTATGCATCTAACCTGGTTTTATAAATAAATGAGATTTGATAGTGCAGTTTATGATTTTGCAAACTACTGTGGATTTCTGTATCTTAGCGGCTAGAGCGCTTGCCTCGCAAGCGAGAGGACCTGGGTTTGATTCCCGAGCAGGGCGAAACGTTGGGCAAGTTTCCTTACTCTTACTCTTCACACATGCCTCTGTTCACCTAGCACTAAGCAGGAATGCGTTGTTTTCCCTAAGGTAATAATCCCTTAAAAAAATTAAATAATAATTTTGTCACTCAATCCACGTCTGTTTGTGGGACATTACTCTGGTAGCCGCATTTTGTCCACAAAGTATACAGTCAATTCATACTACGTTATATTCTGTGAAGCTCTTTGAGACGTCTCGAAGACATGATAAGGCGCTTTACAAATGTAATTTTTTTTTGTTGTTGTTGTAAACCAAATACAAGGATTATTATTATTTTGTTAATAAATACCTTATTTTCCATCATTTCAAATTCAAGCTCAAAATGCACGCTTCGACTGTTCCCAAATAGTCTGCATTGCATGACTTTGTTGTTATCTATAAGTGAAAAGTTAATAAGCATCATTCGTCAAAAATAAGGATGGACAAACACAGATTATACTAATTATGAAGGGAGAATTTTGAACCTTGACATCAATACCTTTGTCGAGCTACAAACGAGCAGGGTGAAACAGTCTTCACACTGCTTCAATGCCCTAAACTCCACATAGAAATAGTTTAATCTTTCGACCGACTCTCCAACTTAATGGTGGTGCGAATTCTGGAGCTGGTACAACAAAGGTCTTTATCATTCACTCCAACCAATCAATGGAGGAAGGCCCATATTAGAATAAAGCCCAAATATTTTTACTTTCTTACTTATCTTGAGCTAGCAAATAGGAAGAGACAATAAAACCGCTTGATGCTAACAACTTCCAATTTGTATTCAATGCCACAGCTTTAGTAATAAAATGAATGAGGTAGAGAATTGTGTGTGAAATGTTTTGACTGAAAATTAATTACATCCATAGTTTTCTTCCTGAAATTGGGTAAGTGTACACTTACCTTTCTCCACTGTTTGCATGTCATATTTACTGAAACAAATGCCAGTTAGTTGGCTCAGAAAGGCAATCTGACACTCAGTCTCCTTAATCTGGTTTTCTACATCGGTGCTGGAGCATTTCCATAATTCTGGATTCAGTGAGGTGAGATTTTCTCTATGCAATTCCCTAAAATAAAAAAATTGTGAATTATGTCCAAAGAACTGGCTACAGCTGGAATTGCACGTTTTTACTTAGAACCTGTTGATAGGACTTTGAAAATGCAATTCTCAAATGCAAGATGCTCAAATGGCATTGTAAACTCACAACCCACAATCTTTGCATGAGTTTACCTATAACAGAATGTATATATATGTCATTACATATTCCTCAGTTTGTCTTTCTATCACTTACGCAGTTTTAAGATTCTCTCCAGAATTAAGAACGTTATCTTGCTGACTGTCTTGGGACTGTTCTTCCAACATTTTGATCTCTTCCTCCAGTGAATGGATCTCATCTTCATAAGCCTGAAACATGCTCCTTGATCAATTTTGCTACATTAAAACACAAATTTGTGTCATTCTGGATATTTAGCAAAATGTTTTCATTTAACAGTAAAGAACAGCACAGGCAGCATTGGTGAAATAGAGGAGGTAACATAATAGTAATAATAACAATCGTTGCATTTGATATAGCACCGTATCAAGTTGAAATGTTTTCTGTAAAAAGTTGTGAATGTGTATTTGTAGGCAAGTGTGGTAGTCAATTTGTGCACAGCAATGTACCTCGATTTAATGTCTCACCCAAAGAAGAGCACCTTCACGAATGCAGCAATTTCCCTGTACTACATTTGAGAGTTAACCGAGCATAGATCAATAAGTAAGGGGAGCTCTATGTTATCTATGGGTGTCAGGTAACTCAATTCAAGAAGGTATGCAATCCCTACTTAATATAATATAGTTACAATGTACAGTTAAAGCATTCTGTACTGATTCCTGTTATAAAGAAAACTACTTTTACCGATTGATAACACACAGAGCAGGAAATGCCTAATAACCAAATCGACACAAGGTCTGGGTTTAGAACAATTTATTCAAAAAAAATAAGTGTTCCTGATCAAAACCTTTTCTTCCTTGTACAGAGTATTTCACGGAATTGCTGTAGAAAGAGTTTGATAATTGCGCGGTTGCCCAAGTGTACTACAGTACTTTTATATTTTGTCTTTTTAAAAAAAATGATATTCTTGAATTACGCGGTGCAACAGCACCTTTTGGTGTCAGAGCTACAGTACTACAATACAAGGACACAAACACCCACTTCTATATAAGTTTCATAAAATCTAATCGGATCCTTCAGAATAAAACACTTGGCGGTCGGTCGGTCGGTAAGTAAGTAAGTAAGTGACGACAATATGCCACAAAATGTCTTCTCAAATAGGATTTTCTTCTATCCTCCATGATAGCAAAGCAGCCCCCACAAAGCATTACAGGATCCTCGCGCTCATTTTCAAATCCCTTCATGCCCTCACAGCTCCCCACCTATAATAATAATAATAATAATCCTTGCATTTGATAGAGCGCTTTTCACGTCGGGAGGACGTCCCAAAGCGCTTCACAGAACACACTGTAAAGTGAATTGACTGCATATTTGTGGGCGAACGCGGCAGCCAATTGCGCACAGCAATGTCCCACAAACAGTCGTAGATTGAAAATGACCAATTTATTATCTATCTGATCAATGTATTGATTTAGTTAAATCATCAATCAATCAATCCATCAATGTATTGATAAACGGCGTAAATCAAGAGAGAGTCAATCAAGAACATTTATTTCGCTGCCCACCATAGAGACTGACACTCCAGCGCAGCGCTTTGTTGGGGGTGGGGGGAAGCCATCCTTGGAACACTTGTCCCGTGTCCCCCCCGTCCCCGTCCCCCAGCACCAGCCAACGGGGGGTGGGGCGGCTCTCCCACTGTCCTTGGCCGCAGACACCCCCCACCCCACCCCCGGGTACAGTCCTCACTCACTCCATGGCCGCTGTGCGCCTACACGGTCACTGCACTCCACAGTACAGTACACACCGCGAGGGAGACATGTTGACGAGGCGCGGTATCGAATGTAAAGGTATCGTGCACCGGGGGGGGGGGGGGGCTGTGCACCGGGGTCGGGGCTGTGCACCGGGGTCGGGGCTGTGCACCGGGGTCGGGGCTGTGCACCGGGGGGGGGGGGGCTGTGCACCGGGGGGGGGGGGGGGCTGTGCACCGGGGGGGGGGGGGGGCTGTGCACCGGGGGGGGGGGGGGCTGTGCACCGGGGGGGGGGGGGGGGGGCTGTGCACCGGGGGGCTGTGCACCGGGGGGCTGTGCACCGGGGGGGGGGGGCTGTGCACCGGGGGCTGTGCACCGGGGGGGGGGGGCTGTGCACCGGGGGGGGGGGGGGCTGTGCACCGGGGGGGGGGGGGGGGCTGTGCACCGGGGGGCTGTGCACCGGGGGGGCTGTGCACCGGGGGGGCTGTGCACCGGGGGGGGGGGGGGCTGTGCACCGGGGGGGGGGGGGGGCTGTGCACCGGGGGGGGGGGGGGGCTGTGCACCGGGGGGGGGGGGGGGGCTGTGCACCGGGGGGGGGGGGGCTGTGCACCGGGGGGGGGGGGGGCTGTGCACCGGGGGGGGGGGGGGGGGGGGGGGGGGGGGGGGGGGGGGGGGGGGGGGGGGGGGGGGGGGGGGGGGGGGGGGGGGGCTGTGCACCGGGGGGGTGCCGGGGCTGTGCACCGGGGGGGAGGGGGTGCCGGGGCTGTGTACCGGGCAGCTCTTACCCGGGTGACGGCGGCTGTTGATGGCTGTTTGAAAAGCGCGGGTCCCGCACCACGTGACGCGCCCAACTGCCGGTGCGCGAGCTCCCTCCGCGGACGGCTCCACTCAGCGGCTCGCGAGGAGGGGGGAGGAGGGAGAGTCCGCGGGGCTCAAATAGACATATACTTTCTGGCGTATAACGTTTACTGAGAGAGGAGTGCGGTGTGTGTATTGTTCACATCCTGGTCGGTGTTTTATGTCGATGGCTTGAAGCCCACAGGCCTGGACTGGGCTTGTGTTTAAAAAAATTCACCCCCCACGGATGGTTGGGTCGGTGTTGCCAGTGCGTGGGGTCTCCGGCGAGAGGTGTGCGGGCGCCGGACCGTCAGGTGGGCCCCGGAGAGGCCGCGCGCTCGGGGTAAGGGGGGCTGCGGGGGGTTTCCTGGTGGGGAGGGGGTGTGGTGCGTGGAGAGGGGGTTCACACTTGAGCGGAACGCCGACGTTCCCCTGAAGGTCCGGAGGCCGCGCGGGTTGAAGTCGGCCTTCCCGCCGTGTGGCGCCCGCCCGCCCCGCGGCCTTGTTATCTCAAAGAGGTGCCCGAGCGGTGTGGGGGGGCGGGGATGTGGGGGGTTAGCTGGGTGGGGTGTGTGGGGGCTGGGAGGGTGGGGGGGTGGCGGGGGTTGAAGAGCCGCCGGTGTAACGGCCCCAGTGGGTCACACTGCGGGTGGGAGCCCCGCGCCGGGAGGTTGAGCCTCAGCGTTGGATGCAGCGCCTTATCACGTCCTCTCGAGGCGTCTCCACCATCTGCTTTACTGTGGTTCTCACTGCAAAGTGTTTCTTCATTGTGTCTCTTGTGGGTGAAGGAATACGGCAGTCAGTTGCGGGTGAGCGACCGGTTTTATTTGCGGGCGCTCATTGTTGGCCTGGACACCGCGAGAAACTCCCGGTCTCCTCCAACAGTGCCACGGGATATTGAACGTCCACCTGAACGGACCAGACCTCGGGTTAACATCTCACATGAAAGATGGCACCTCTCGCATTACAATGGACAATGTCCTTCCAGCGCCTTGGGATGGCCTCATGATGTGAAAGGCCTTACACAAATGCACGTTGTTGCAATTTACCCCAACGCTGCATTAAGGTGTGAGTTTGGACTGTGATGGCAACAACAAGAAGATTTCATTGACAGAGCGCCTTTCACGTGGGGAGGACGTCCCAAGGCGCTGGACAGTTGGGTCGGTCGGGCAAGACTTGACGCCTGTCTTGAACCCACGCTAGGCTGGCACTGGTGTTCCTCTGTGGTACTCTTTTGACCTCCCACAAACACATTGGAGTAAGTGATCAATTTTATCAGGGGTACCGGGAAGAATCCTTTTCCTTTTTGAGTAATCCTTTCCCTTTTCTGCCCGAACAGGCTGGCGGGACCTTGGTTTAACGTCTCATCGAAGGATGGCACTTCCAACAATGTTGCACACTGCCTTGGAGTGCCAATTTAAATTGTGAATTAAAGTATTGATGTGGGGATTTGATATATCAACATAAACGGTGACTACATTTGACATTAATTACTGTTAAGTTCTTTGATCTGTTTTGCCATGATGATATGCTATAAGAATGTAAGCTCTTTAGTTTGTTAGTTTTTTTGTGTTGTGAAAATTATTGCGCGCAGCTCAACTTTGATCTGTTTCATTGTAAGGTTTCAATTAACTTACACTATTGGACCACTGGATGGCAGTATGAAATAAATTGGTATAAATTATTCAGAAAGTTTAATATTGGGCTTTTATTTCATGTAGTTTGGGATAAGTTATTAACTAACAAATTAAATGCTTTTCCCTTCCAAAAAAATCCTTTCTGCAATAATTCTTTGAATAATAAATTGCAAGATTTTCCATGCCTGTGTCAATGTTGCTTTGAACAGGCTACTACTGTAAGAATGCTGCTGCTGGTCTCACCAATTGCTTTTCCATTTACACTTAGTATCAGTCCCAAATTGGTAGCTGAGATCAGAAGAGTTTTAGGAGGAAAGTCAACAGTGGGTCAGGGTAACACCACCACCCCACCCCCCCCCATTAAGTAAAATCATAGCAGCAGTGTGGATTGCTGAAATGATTTTCTAAAAAAAACCATAGCTTGATGCTTGATTCATTCTCAAATAAACTCTGTCCTTTGCCATGTAGAGGGACCTAACCTTTTGTGAAACCTTACAAAGATTTAGTTAGCAACTGGCAAGATTAGGAATTACAAGAGGAAATGTCTACATAAGCACGGTGGTAGTACACACAGATCACTTTTGCAGTGATCTGATGGTTTAATTTTTTTCTGCATTTCTCTAGGAAATCCACTTTACTGTTATTTCTTTCTCTTTGTTCAGTTCTTCACTTTTTTTCTAAATTAAATAATGTATATTTTCTACTTCCATGTGTTAAAACGAAAAACAAGAAAAAGAATAAAAACTAAAGGAAGTACTTCTTTGATATACTTTGTCGTTATATTTAATTAACATGTTTTCCTTAATAGATACTGTTTTCAAATATTGTAATTAAAATTGCAGGAATGGAATGTGCTGTTAAGGTTTATTACTTTTACTGTAATTAAATCTTCTGTTTCTATATCTCTTTAACAGAGCTTTTTTGTTATTTCTGAGAAACAAATCATAAAATGGAGACAGACAAAAGTTTAAAGCGTGTATTTGTTGGAGGATTGCATCACACAGTCGCTGAAAGTGAAATCAAAGAAAGGTTTAGCAAGTTTGGAGATGTAATGAATGTGGAAATTATAATCAGGAAGGATGACAAAGGTAATGTTGATGTTTGCCCATCATTACTGCACCATCACTAAGAGTGTAATTCAGATTAATGTTGTCTGTGAAGGAAAGTTCATTGCAATTTAACTATTAATAAGATATACTGGTCTTCCTCCCCTCCCTACTTTAAGGCCCTGTTTTATTGGTGATAGTCTTTGTGATCTGCGGGTTATAAATTGGGCTAGGATATTTGACTCCATTGGACCAGCCCTCTTTAAAGAATCCAAGCCCAGCCCATAGGAACCCTTGAGATACTACAAGTAATTGAGGAACCACTTATCCAAATAAGAAAAAATCCCTGGTTTGAGTAAATTCTAAGTTCACAGTAAAAGTAATAAAACAAAGTTTCACTCTAGCATTTCCTCTTTGAGTTGCCCAAATGGAGTATTATTTGAGACTGGAATACAAACATGTTTGTGTGACCATGTTCTGATTACCATGCTCTCTGATGTACAGCAACTTGCATTTATATAGCGCCTTTCACATCGAGTAGTGTCTTAGAGCATTGAATATTCAAGCTGTTGTAGTAACTGATTTCTAGTTTCTTATCGTCAGGAATGACTTAAGGTTTTACAAATTAATGTACATCTTGAAATTAACTCTTTGTAATTTTCAAATTATCTTTCCAGGAAATCCTGTGAAGACTTTCGGATATATTAATATGAGTTCTTCTGAAAAAGAGTTAAAAAATGTAGGTACAGTAAACCCCTCTAGACTACTGGACTTCAGGTATCCGGAATTCAACCCGAGCCAGACCGGGTCCCAAAACCAAAAACAAAAGCCAACACCTCGCTCAGCAGCCCCCATGATCTCACAGCTTCCCGCCTCAATGGCCTTGCTCTGGCATCCAGTGTCTGGGGATGAGTGACTTTTATTTAAGCAGTGGTAGAAATGCATTTACAGTGCCGGAAAATGTATTATCAGCATTTACAGCACCCCATGTGCATTTTTTGCAATTTCCTGCAATGTAATTGCACTTAGCGGGAAATTCTGAATTGGATCTTACCCCCACCCACACACATGCTTCCCGCCCCCACCATTGGCTGGCTGGGGTTTATCTGTATATATCTCCAGTTTTTAAAATCTACACATTTTGCTTTGCTATTGTGATCCAGAATTTCTTCCACATTTTTGTCTTAGTTGTCTTTCCACAGAGGGTGCATGATTATACAAAAATACATTTCAGTTAAAAATAAGGTAAATATAAAAGCATCTGCAGGCAAAGATTACTCCTGCTTGCCTCAAGGCTGCGGATCTAAACTGTTATTTCTGCTAGCACTTCTTCATGGGGTTTGTTAACTTGTGGACTACTCAGTGTTGGAGAATTCAGTATCACAAATGAAAACAATTTAGCTGCAGGATGTACCATGTGTGATTTTCAATTAAATTATTCAACAACTGAATCAACTGAGATATCCATGCATATCTTCTGCAGTTTTATTTGTTTTTGTTTTTAGGCATTTCACTTCTGAATAAATCAAATTGGAAAGGTGGGACACTACAGATCGAACTGGCCAAAGAAAGCTTTTTACATAAGTAAGTGGGCAGCACTTTTCACATTGGGAGGGCATCCCAAAGCGTTTGACAGGGTTTACTGTGGAGTGACTGTATTGGGACATCCTCGTGATGTGAAAGGCACTTTATAAATGTAATTTTTTCTTCTTGTATTTGTGGGCAAAGGCTGCAGCCCAAGTGCATACAGCAATGTCCCAACTAATAGCCATGAAACAACTAACCAATTTTATTTTGGAGATTGTTAGCCAGGACACTGGGATTTCAGCATTTCATAATTTTCCATGAAAATTTTCCATCGATTTTGTTCTGGATATCAGTTTGATATTTAGGGAGAAAGACTGATTTCAAATATAATTTATTATAGATGCTAAAGAATTTGTAAGTATGCTTTTTATCTCAGTTTTCTATATGATGCCAGTAATTTCCATCCCATGCGTTGTCTATTGCTTGGCATTGAGAAAATGTTTTATGAAATTCCATAGCTTAATATTCCATAGGCATCGTTGCAGTAAAATTTAAATAAATCCAATTTTTATTTCAATTTTGAAAAAAGATTTTTGACCTGGGGTACTTAAAAAAAATGTTTGGTTATTCTAGAGAGCAAGGCCAGAAATGCTGCTTATTCTTTGCCAGTTGGACCATTTGTCTTGCAGCTAATTTAAATTTGTGGAAAATGCTGATACTGGTCAGTTTTAAGAAAACCAATGAATTAATTTTAATTTTTTTCCACAATCTTGCATATATAGCAAAATAGCTGTAAGGCTAAAGCTATTTGGAATTT